GGATAAGGAAATGATCGATCCCATATTGGCTATAGGCTAGACACTAAAGGAACAACTTATTTGATGGTGGACACAGAGGAGACAGAGAAATGAAGCCCAAGGGGAGAGCGAATGGCTCGGTATTAAATAAGAATGAAGCAAATATCCCTGATTTCTTTATTTCCTCCTGCTTTGTCCAGGGCTCTGACCACACGTGTCCCCAAGGATTAGCAGAGGAGATTGACTGGAGCCAGAGCATGACCCCTTTGTCATGTCCGTGGAGAAATACATGTTCCAGGTATTTTGGGTGAGATACTAGAGGCATGAAAAGACAAGGACTGATTAATACTTTTAAATTAATGTGAACATTTTTGTCAGTCTAAAAGTAAAACATAAATTATAGGGAAATTGAAAAAATTATAAACACATAATTATAATCAGTAATCTGGTCTCTTGCCTATTACTTAGTATTTGAGTTATTTCCTTCTTAATCTTTTTATATCTATCTATCTATCTATCTATCTACCGATCTATCCTATAACTATACCTCTATCTTTAACCATACGTTTTTCAAAATTTGGAACCCATCGGATTTTATAAACTGGAATTACAACATGTTATTTCTTAATGCATTTAACTCTGCCTCTACTGTTAGAGTTATTCATTTAACTCTCCCTGTACTGTTTTATTTATGTGTTTTTATTCTAAATAATCCCATGGCACATGTCCTTATAAATAAACTTTAGAATTTCTCAGTATATCCTTGGAATAGATTCCTTAAAGTGGTATAACTAGGTCAATAGATAAAAATCTTGAAAACACTCTTGCCAAACTGTTTTGTAGACAAGTTATGGCAAATTATATTGCTACCACCAGGATAGGAAATTACCCACTTCCCCATACTCCCCATAACCCTGAACTTTCTTTTAACTTTTGGTAATTTGCTAGATTAAATTGTCATTGTTTTAACTTGCTTTCTCTTGGAAACTAGGGAGGCTGAATATACTGCGTTATTAGACATCCTGAGGGTTGTCTGCTGGGCTTTAAGTTTAAAAAGATATTCATCTACGTTTTCTTCTTTTTTTTTAAGCTTTGTTAGTATTAACTCTTTAGTGTATCTATGGTAAAAGGCAAAGATATAATTAAACACTTTTTCCTGGAGCACCTGGGTGGCTCAGTTGGTCGAGCATGTGACTCTTGATCTTGGGGTTGTGAGTTTGAGCCCCAAACTTGATGTAGAGATTTCTTAAAAAAAAAAAAGAAACAAAAGAATTCTTTCTCTAAATCTTTAACCAGTTGTTCCACCATCAGTGATTGTTATGCTCTCTTTAATATATGAGCAAATTGAATTTACATTGGGGGATTTTTCTGGGCCACCTGCTTTAAGTTCCTTTACCTGTCTGTTGATTTTGGCACCAGTACTGAGCCCTAGTTCGATCACTATGGCTTTATAATATATGCCATTTTAATATCTGGTAGAGCAAGGCTATTTGTTATTTTTCCTTTTCAAAAACTTCATAGCTTTCTATCTCATTCCCAGGTGAGCTATTCTCTTACATAGATTTTAGAATTATTTTGTTAAGAAAAAAATCCATTGGAAGTCCCGCACCCCTATTGGAAGTTTTGATTGAAATGGCATGAAATCTGTACGTTAACCAATTGACATAAGTAAGGTTTTGTAAGCAAGGATTCCGTGACAGCAATCAGGACTTTCTCCTTGAGCCATTGCTCCTCCAGAGGACAGAGTGAGGATTTAGAGCCTGGGCCGTGGTCTGGGGCCTCGTTATGTGAGCTTAGCAAGTCCCAGAACCTCCCTGTGCCTCAATTTCATCATCTCATACATCATCTCTTGTTATTTCATTAGGCCCAGAATCAACATGGTGCCTGGAACACCTTCTCACAATCAAATCTCAAAACATTGAATGATTAAATTTTTAATCTGTCCATCCAAAAAGTACCTTCTAGCCTCCAAAGGAAAGACTATCTGGAAAAGGAAAGGCAGTATAACTGACAATGGGGACTATCTCCAAACTCTGGAATCTCCAGTTGCATATAAGCATGAGAAGGGTAGGGATTCCCTTCTCTCCCCCGCCTCACACACACACACACACACACACTAGGCACTTAATATGTATTTGTTGAATAAATAATGAATGAATGGTGATCGTTCTCCTGATCCTAAATTGCAGGACAGTAAGGCCAAGAGTCTTCCCCACCTTCTGTCAAATGGCCAGGGAAAATCAGACTTCTTAGGAAAACTCAGGTAAAGTGAGCCTTATTTAGGCCTTGCCACGCCTCCACACGCACACACATAAATGGAGGAGGGTGCATTGGAGAAAAATCTTGGGCTGTTTTACAAAACCAACACATTAATCAAAGAAGACCCTGGAATTTTCTCTTACCATCTGAAAGCTGTCTATGTGATTAGACAGAGTTACCTAACTGTACTCTTAAAGTGAAAGACCGTGAGATACTAATGCTGTTTAAGACATCTGTACATACATGTTCCCAGCAGCATTATTCGCAATATTAAAGCAAATGTCCATCGACAAATGAATAGAGACACAAAAGGTGGACTATCCATGCCAGGAGTATCAGTCAGCCATAAAAAGGAATGACGTACAGACACATATTATAACATGGATAAAACTTGGGACACATTCACTGAAAGAAGCCAGTCACAAAAGGACAACTGCCTGCTTCCACTTATATGAGGTCCATTGAATAGTCAGATTCATAGAGACAGAAAGCAGAAGAGTGGCTGCCAGGAGGTGGGGGTGGGGTGGGGGAATAGACAGTCATTGTTTTCTGGGTGCAGTTTCAGTTTGGGAGGATTAGAAAGTTCCAGAGACGGATGGTGGAGTACATGAATGTACTTAATATCACTTAACTGTACACTTAAAAATAATTAAGATGTGAAATTTTATATTATATATATTTTACAACAATAATTTTAAAAAGTTACTGATGCTGTTTAAAGATGCTTTCAGGGGTGCCTGGGTGGCTTCGTCGGTTGACCATCGGACTCTTGATGACAGCTCAGGTTATGATCCCAGGGTCATGGGATTGAGCCCTGAATCAGGCTCAGTGCTGAGAGTGGAGCTTTGAGATTCTCTTTCTCTCCCTCTGCACCTCTCCTCTCCTTGCATGCATTCTCTCTAAAATAAGATAATAACAATAATAATAAACATTTTAAAAAGATGCTTTAAGGGGCACCTGGGTGGCTCAGTCAGTTGAACATCTTGATTTTTGGCTCAGGTATGATTGCACGGTTCATGAGATTGAGACCCACACAACAGGCTCCACACTGGATGTGGGGCCTGCTTAAGATTCTTTCTCTCTCTCTCTCTCTTTCTCCTGATGCTCCTTCCTTGCTCTCTCTCTCTCTCCAAAAAAAAAAAAAAATGCTATTAGAACTATTTTTACAGAAAGGAAGCAAAAGGCCACTGTACACAAAGCTGGCTCACTCATTTCATGATCTGATTTGACGACCTTCAGTTGTGGGGAGAGAAAGGCATCCCATGGGCTAACATTAGGAATAGATGCTAGGGAGCCTGGGTGGCTCAGTTGGTTAAGCGTCTGACTATCAGCACAGAGCCCGGAGTCTGTTTCTAATTCTATGTCTCCTCTCTCTCTGACCCTCCCCTACTCACGCCGTCTCTCTCTCTCTCTCTCTCTCAGAAATAAATAAAACATTAAAAAAAATAAAAAAGGAATAGATGCCTACCTGACACCGGCCCTGGAATTTTCTGATTCTACCTTGACAGCAGCCCATGTTGTTGTTCTTTGCTGCCAGCTGACCTCAGTCAGCTTCTCCCCAGTCCATTAGAGATGTTCCAATAAACTTGAACCTTTAAAGAAAGGAGTCTGCATTCAGCTTCCCCCAGAAGATGTAAGTAGCACACAGGCATCTCCTCACTTCACCCATCGTCACTTCCAAGATACAGGTCTTTGCTATGCTGATATACACTCCTTGATACTCTTCTACCAGAATCGTGGGTAGGCAGTACTCTCCTTACATCCAAAGGAAAGGGGCCCCACAGAGTGTTCACTCCAGACCAAGGACAGCTGCTATAAAGATGACCTAGGAGTTCCCTGTAATATAGACTGAAAACTTTTCATTTATTTAAACTAATCTCTACACCAAACGTGGGGCTCCAACTCATAACCGCCAAATGAAGAGTTGCTTGCTCTTCCAACTGAGCCAGCCAGGCGCCCTGGAAAACAGCAGTTTCTAAATGGCAATGCTTCTCCCTCCCCTCTGAAAACCCCAAATGTTTTAACATATATAAAAATCCTAGACATGTAAATGGAAACAATTTTTATCATTGCCATCATTAACATGATAATTATCACCATTATAGAGACAGAAAAGATTTGCAGAATCTACAAGGACAGAGAAGAAGGAGTTGGCAATAATTCCAGGTTCATGGCAAATAGCATCCTAAACTGGATGGAGGAGGAGAAGCAGGTTGACCGAGACAATAGAAAGGCTCAGGGAAAGAGAAATTGATGAAGATGAGCTGGAGGGTCTGGGAGTGGAAGGAAAGTAGGTGGGTAGGAACGAAGGGAGCTCATTAGTATGTAAAGCTGAAGAATGAGGCGCCGGGGTGGTGAGTTGGTTAAACGTCTGACTTCAGCTCAGGTCATGATCTTGCAGTTTATATGAGTTCGAGCCCCTCCTAGACCTCTGTGCTGACAGCTTAGTCTGGAATCTGCTTCAGATTCTGTGTCTTCCTCTCTCTCTGCCCCTCCCCTGCCTGCATTCTGCCTTTCTCTCTCTCATAAGTAAACAGTAAAAAATAACAATACTAATAAAAATTAAAAAGCTGAAGTAAAGTCTGCAACAAGGCGGAAGCACAGAACTGCATCATCTGTTCCAAATCCGCGCTCCCTTCCGGTTTTTTATTTGCCCATGTTCCTTGAAATACCGCGAGAACGCGAAGCCAATGAGCCCTCCTGAGGTAGGCTAAAGATCCGCCTCTGCCCCGCCCCCCACGGCCCGGGCCCCGCCCCTCGCGTCTGCGCCGTAATTTGCAGTCAATAAAATTGCGCCCGTTCGGCGTTTGGGGCGAGCAACATGGCGGCCTCCATGCTGGGTTGTTTGCTTCGGACCGTACGGCAGGTCAGGACCGCGCCCTTAGCCCCAGTCCTCCGTCTCCCCACTGAGTCCCCAAACCCACGGGTTCCCTACTACTCTGCCCGCTGTAGTGTCCAGTGCGGACCCGAGCTACAGATTTGGCGGTGTTCCTAAGCCTATAACTGACAGGCGTTGAAAGCTTCAGATTGCCGCCGATTTATAAGAAGTTAGTGCAGGTGGAGAAGAGAAGGGGTCCATGGATTGAGGCCCCAGGGATCCCCAGCGTTAAGCAAGGAGATCCGAGCGAAGAAGCCTTGACGGGAGTTCAGCGAGGGAGAGGGAAAGCTTGGAGAGTGTCGTGGCCCAGAAGCAGGTGACAGAATTGCTGGAAGCAGGGAGTAGTCCGCTCTCTGCTCAGAGTTGACAGACCTATTAAAAGGGGGAGAGAATTGGCTGTTGGTTGTAGTAGTGTGGAGGTTGGGCCTTCATCACAGCAGTTTTAATGGCGTGGTGGGGCCAAAGCGTTCAAGAAAAAATGAGGAAAGAAATTGGGAGACTACGAGGGTAGACAGACCCTTGCAGATGTTTTGCCACAAAGGGGAGCAGAAAAATGGGTCAGTAGCTGGAAGGAGAGGTGGGTTAAGAGTGTTTTAGGTCCTTGTGTTTTCACGTGACAGAAGTTAACTGCAGGTTTTGGTGTTAAAGAGAAAGATCCTGTAGCGTGGGGAAAATTAAGAGAGGGAAGACTTGCTGGAGCTGTGCCCTGCGTAGGTAAAAGGTGCTGGGACTTCTGTTCCATTATTTGGTTTAAGGAACATGGAGATGGACAACATCATCTGTGTTGGCATTGTCCAATAGAAATATAATGCCAACTACATGTGTAATTTAAAAAGTTCTAGTAGCCATGTTAAAAAAGCAAAAAGAGGGGTGTCTGCGTGGCTCAGTTAGTTAAGCATCCAACTTCGGCTCAGGTCGTGATCTCAGGTCATGATCCCACGGTGCTTGGATTCGAGCCACGTCAGGCTCCGCACTGACAGCTAGCTGAGAGCGTGGAGTCGGCTTCAGATTCTGTGTCTCCCTCTCTCTCTGACCCTCCCCTGCTCATGCTGTCTCTCTCTCAGAAATAAACATTAAAAAAAATTTTTTTAAAGCAAAAAGAAACGTGAAATTAATTTTAATAAAATATTTGAAGCCAGCATATCTAAAATATTCATTCAATATGTAATCTATGAAAATGACTTATGACATATTTGCATTCTTTTTTCATACTAGATCTTCAAAATCCAGTTTGAATTTTACTTATAGCACATCTGTTTGGATGCCAAATTTTCCACTATTAAAATGGAAAATATAGTCCTACCAAAACAATAAAGTTGTTTAATATTTACAGCTGCTTCAGTTTAATTTTTTTTTTAATTTTAAATGTTTAATTTAATCTTGAGGGAGATAGGGAGACAGAGTGTGAGCAAGGGAGGGGCAGAGTGAGAGAGGGACACAGAATCCAAAGCAGGCTCCAGGCTCTGAGCTGTCAGCACAGAGCCCTATGCGGGGCTTGAACTCAAAAGCCATGAGATAAAGTCAGACACTCATCCGACTGAGCCATCCAGGCGCCCCGACTTCAGTTTAAATTTTTAATGAATTAAAATTAAATAAAATTAGGAATTAATGTTCCCCAGTTGTACTAGTTGTAACATTTTAAGTGTTCGGTAGCAATATGTGGTTAGCGGCTACTCTATTAGAATGGATCTTTAATAACAGGAGGGAATGTACAGCATATGATTACAGATGCTGGTAAGTGGGTAGATTTAACTGGATGTTTATGGAAGTTCCTGATTGCTTCTAATTTTATAATTAAAGAGAAGTCATCAGTGGCATGTGAGGATGTGGGAGCAGGTGTTAGGGATTTAAGGAAAGAAGAAATGGTGTGAAATAGGAGTAGACGGGAAAACTAGTAACAAGAATTGAAGCAAGTACAGTGATGTTAGAGAGGGGCCAGAGAGTTGAGGATGTAGGAAAGACAACATTGTATTTACACACGGAAATTCAGGCTGGGTAAGAGGAGACAGGAAATCAAGAGCCGAGAGTGAAAAGGTGGTAGGATCAATGACTTAAAAACCTCACAGGAATTGTTATTGGGGTGTTTGAAGGAGCAAGCTAGAAATAAGCAATAGAGAATGAGATACACAAAACTGAGATAATAGAAAGCTTGCACTTAATGGTAATAAAAGACTCAGAGCAAAGAAATAAGTACAAAAGTCACTGGAAGAGAGGAATTTGAGGTACAGAGAGATCAGGAGATATAATTTCATGTGTATTGAGCTCACCAAGAATTAGGACAAGAATATTGGAGAGAGAGCATCTGACTCTTTTTTTTTTTTTTTTAATGTTTATTTTTATGAGAAAGAGGAGCAGGGGAGGGGCAGGAGAGAGAAGGGGACAGAGGATCTGATAGCTGGCTCCACACTGACAGGAGAGAGCCCAGTGCAGGGTAGAACTCAGTAAGTGCAAGATCATGACCTGAGTGGAAGTCGGATGCTCAACCAACTGAGCCACGCAGGCACCCCTAAGCATCTTATTCTTTTTTTAAATGTTTTATTTATTTCTGAGAGAGAGAGACAGCGTGGGGGGGGGGGGTGGGTCAGAGAGAGACACACACAGAGAATCTGAAACAGGCTCCAGGCTCTGAGCTGGCTGTCAGCACAGAGCCCGGCGCGGGGCTTGAACCCACCAACCATGAGATAGTGACCTGAGCCAAAGTTGGATGCTTAACTGACTGATCCACCCAGGCGCCCCGCTAAGCATCTTATTCTTGATCTCAGCTCCTGTCGTAATCTCAGGGATCATGAATTCAAACCCTGTGTTGGAGCCTACTTAAAAAATACTAATATTGGAGAGAGTAACAGTGAGCCAGGATCTAGATTCACTTAAAAATGAAAGGAAGACTATGGTAGATGAGTGCAAGAGTGAGGGTTGGTGGGAGGTATAACTCAAAAGCATTAAAGGCACAGCTACCTTTCAGGAAGGAAGGTTTGGGAGCTGCCCTGAAGAGCGAGCAGTACACTTCCCTGCACACCTCCATGCCCAATTGTGGGAGAAAAAACCTCCAGGGGAAGCTATCAGGAGGGATTCAAGATTCAGCTAGAGCAAAAATCTGCAGATGGTCAGAGAAGTTGAGGATTTCAAAGATTTTGATGACCATACAACATGAATAGGGCCCAGTGGAGGCATTTGGGGAGGTGACAGGGACAGGATAGAATGTGTGCAGAATAGATTGCAATCTCATATATACAGCATTAACCAGTAAGAAAATACTAATAATAGAAATGTAGGCAAAGGATGTAAAACATTCACAGAAGTAATGTAACCGACCAATAAATGTTTTAAGCGTGTATTTCTAGTCAGAAAAAAATTATACAAAAAAAGAATGAGAGGTATTTTAAAATAAATAGAAACCTACAGGAGTTGGTAGAGAGGAAGTTGATTAGGAATAGTGTGGGAAAGAATCAAAGGAAAATGTTTAATTTTGATTTCTAAGTCTCCTTAACTTTAAGTTTCGTAGGTAAAAGCAAACTGTACATTGCCCCTCAACACGAATTGTTTCTTTCAGCCAGAATATCTCCCCTTGTCTTATGAATATATCTTGCTCATTTTCCTTTTGGGTTGGGACAAACTTCACCTTCTCTCCATTTCCCCATGCCCCCCCCCCCTCCCGCTGTATAAAAATTCTGTCAGTCCTGGGGCGCCTGTGTGACTCCCCCCTGCTCACGCGCTCTCTCTCTCTCTCTCTCTCTCTCCCCCTCTCCCCTTCTCTCCCCCTCCCCCTTCCCCCTAGAAATAAATAAAACATTAAAAAAAAAATTCTGTCAGTCCCTTCAAAGCCTTAGTGAAGCTCCCGTTTCCGGGACACTTGTTTCCAGCCCAGCTACAGTGACCATGGTGTTCATTTGACTCAGTTATGTGTCAAATCAGTATTGAAATTCCATTTGTGCTTGTCTTCCAAAAGTGATTGTAGAATTGTTGTTTTTCTCCGTGAGAATTTTAGCTCTGAAGGCATTCAGTTTATCTTTTATTAATAGATTGGGCTTTCCAGTAATCTCATCTTCACTTTTATATTATGTATTATGCTGATGTACATTTCTATGAACAGCTTTTATTGGAAGCCATCATTACTTTCTGTAGCCGAAATTTAATTAACACATAGCGTTTGCTCTGGTTTGGAAGAGTCTTGAGTTTCTAGTGGCCTATACAATCTATGCCTGCAATATGTTAAACAAAATGCAGCTGAGTAAACTTAAAGATCTAATTGGCTTTATTAAGTCATTCTTGAGTCAGGCACCATCCCATCTAGCAAATAGAGGGAAGCTCTCAGGTTCTGTAGAAAATAAAGATTTTTATAGGAAGGAGGATGGGGCAAGAAAGTCACCAGCAGAATAAAAGAATTTTTTCAGGTAAGATCACCTTCCCTTAGGGGGAAAGAGCATGAGGGTCTTATGCAGATGACCTCATCTTCCTTCACAGGGATGGAGGGCCATGTGGCACTCATTGGCACCCACCAGAAAATTCCCAACTGCCCAGTTAAGACTGCTTTGCTGGGGGGAGGTTGAAACTGCAGTTAGATCAGGTATTAAGCCCTGGTTCAGACTTGGGTCTGTGGTTTTCCATTTTACAGTTATCCCCTTTAGATCAAACTTATGTGATCAAAATTAAAGGCATTAGCGCCACTCTCAGGTACCAACCTTAAATTCTAGCAGTTTCTGTTATTCCCTTGTGTGACCCATCCATAGGTCATGGCTTAATCTCTGGGATATTCACAGGTCATGGCTTCGGGTTCACAGTTTTTTAAGTTGGTCACTTTCTTTGTTCCTTAGATGTTTCAAGTCCTTTTTAATTTTTTTTTTTAAACAATCCCTATGCCCAACGTGGGGCTTGATCAGCACCCCAAGATCAGGAGTAGCACACTCCACCAACTACGCCCGCCAGGCACCCACAGATGTTTCAGGTGTTAGGGAGATCATTTGCTTGGTGGTTAGCAGCTGTGAACATGT